GTGTGTGACATCATATCTGGCCAGATTGAGTGATGTTACAATAAAAATTTTTATTTCCTGACAATTCAGAAGACTACAAGTCTGAGATTAAAGTGTCTCCAGGGTTGGTTTCTTCCAAGGCCTTTCTCCTTGGCTTACAGACGGCTGTTTTCTCCTTACATCTTTATGTGGTCCTCTGTCTGTGCCTCTGTCCTAACATCTCTTAGAACAAGATCAGTCGTATTGCATTATAACTCACCTAATGATTTCATTTTACCTTGAACAACATTTTTGCTTTCTATTCTTTTGGGCTTACTATTTATTTATTTATTTATTTGTTATTCATTATTTATTTATTTATTTTTATGTGTGTGTTTTGCCTGAGCATATGTAGGTGCACCTGTGAGTGCAATGCCCACTCAATACCCTGGAACTGGAATTATAGATAGTTGTTAGCCACCATGTGGATGCTGGGAACAAAACCCAGGTCCTCTACAAGAGAAGTCAGCACTCTTAACCATCCATCTCTCCAGGCAAAACTGTTTTATATATATTTTTTTATTTTTGCTATCTTTGTGTGTATATGTGTACAGTGTATGTGAGTGGGGGGACGCACATGAGTGCCATAGAATGCATGTGGCTTTCCAAAGACAACTTCAGGCGCTGGTCCTCAACTTCACCTTGATTGAGGCAGACTCTCTTATTGTTTACCAGGGCAAACGGCAGGCTACCTGGCCTGAAAGCTTACAGGAATTCTTCTGTTTTTACCTCTCATCTTGCCATAAATATGCTGGGATTATAGATGTTAGTTACTGGGTCCTGCTTTATGTGGGTTCTGGGAATTCAAACTCAGGTCCTCATGTTTGTGTGACAAGCACTTTACCACAGGGCTGTCTCCCCAACCCTCTAATTTATATGTTATGGAAGGGTCTCATTCTTTTAGCCTAGGCTGGCCTGAAACTCACTATATAACCCAGGCTGAGCCTAGGGTAGGATTCCTCCCACTAGTCTACACACTGGGACTCCAGGGCCTTCCACCAGACTCAGGAAAGGTTGCTCAGTGCATACCTCTTTTCTTTAAAAATAATTTCATTAGGGGTTGGAGAGATGGCTCTGTGGACTGAGTACACAGTAGTACTAGCTGCCCTTGAAGAGAACCCCGGGTTAAATTTCCAGAACCCACATGGTGGCTAACAGCTATCAGTAACTCCAGTTCTAGGGGATCCAATGCCCTCTTTTGACCTCCTCAGGCACTGAATGACATGGGTACACTTACACACATGCAGGCAATACACTCATACTCATAAAATAAAATAAATTAAAATAATAAATAAAATATTTAAAATAATAATTTCACTGGGGCTGGAGAGAAGACTCAGCAGTTAAGACCCAAGAATGTTGCTCTTACAGAGGACCCAGCATCCACATCAGGCAGCTCACAACTACCTATAACCTTAGCTCCAGGGGATCTGATGCTCTCTTCTGGCCTCCAAGGGTACCTGTACACAGTGTTGCAGACACACATACACATAATTTTTAAAAATATTTTATTTATTATTTTTATTTTACATGTATGCTTGTATTGCCTGCATGTAGGTAAATGCACCCATATCGTGCAATGCCCATGGAGGACAGAAGAGGCTGTCAGATCCCCTGGAACTGGAGTTACTGACAGTTGTTAGCTGCTACGTGAGTGCTGGGGATTCGAACCCAGGTCTTCTGAAAGAATAGTCAGTGTTCTTAACTGCTGAGCCACGTCTCCAGCCCCAATACACATAAATTTTACAAAATAAAATTTTATTATATTATTCATTTATTTGTGTGTGTGTGTGTGTGTGTGTGTGTGTGTGTGTTTTCAGGCCTGGGAGGGGGCATGGCTGTGCTATGCCATGGGTGTTGAGGACAGGGGGACAACTTACAAGAATCGGTTCACTCCTTCCACCATGTGGGATCCCAGGGTCACCAGGCTTGTAGCAAGTGTCTTTACCACTGAGCCAGACCTGAGTGCCTCTTTCCTAAACCACAGATCTCTGAACAGGCAGGTAAGCTCAATCCCCATGCATCCCTTTAAGTATTAGTAACTGTACAGCAGTTCTCAGAGTGCTGCATAGAAACCCCAGGAGTCCCAATACTTTAGTAGAGTCCTCAAAGAGGAACTATTTTTATAGTATTTTTTAAGATGTAATTTGCATTTTTCTGTACACCACGGAGCTACAGAGGAGCTCAAAGATAGCTGACATCAAAACCAATTGAATTCACAAGCCAGAGGGAGAAAGTACCTGTGTTCTTAATAAGTCAGACCTTAAAGAGATTTTCAGTAATGCCACCCTTTGCATTGGTATTTTTAAGTATTTTTCATTAAGAAATGGTATTCACGTTAATATGTAATATATGAGTTTTTAGTTATGCATTTTTATTATTTTAAATTATTTAATTTGTAAATTTATTTTTTACATGTATGGGTGTTTTGCCTACGTGTATTTAGGTACACCTGTGTCATGTAATGCCTATGGAGGCCAGAGATGGTGTTGGATTCCCTGGAACTGGAGTTACAGAAGGCTGTTGGCCTCAATGTGAGTTCAGGGACCCAAACCCGGGTCCCCTGGAAAAGCAGTCAGTGCTCTTAGTCACTGAGCCGTCTCTCCAGCCCCCATTGATAAGTTTTTTAGAATGTAAAAGAGCCAGACAAGGTGGCACATGCCTTTAACTCTAGCACTCATGAGGCAGAAGCTGGTGGATCTCTATGCCTTTGAGGCCAACCTCGTCCACATAGTGAGTTCTAGGCCAGCCAGGGCTACATAGTAAGACCCTGTCTCAATAAATAAATGAATAAATGAATAAACAAAAAAGAAAGAAAGAATAGTGAGTGTAAAAAAGAGTCAGGAGTGGTGGCACATACCCGTAATCCCATCACTTGAAAAGCAGGAGGATCCCAATTTGAGGCCAGTCTGGGCTACAATAGCAAGACTGTCCCAAAACCCCAAAACAAACGAACAAAAAAACAAGTATGAAAAGGAGTTCAAGAACCCATTCTAGTATTGTAAAGCCGGAAAGGGGAGGGAAAGCACAAACAGTATTATGGTTAAGCTTTTGCTGTTTATTCATTAATCTCACAAAATGTTCATGGAACAGAAACTAGAACCCCATCACCTGGCAGATACAGGAGTAACTTGGTCCTCCCAGTACTCGATCCATGCTACAGAAGCAGCAGCAGCAGCAGCAGCAGCACCTGTACCCAAAGTCAGACATGTCTCAGAGTCAAGGAAGACTGTCCAGAGAAGTCTAGGCTGAGACAGAAACAAGGGATGTAGCAAGCAAGGTTTCAATACAAGGGCTGATTGTGCAGGGAGGGAAAGAAAAGCTTCTCAGAGATGCCTGTGATAAATCTCAACACAGGCAATAGTGCTTTTCCCATTAGCAAAGCGACCAGATCATTTTGAAAAACAAATGTCCTGTTACTTTACAGGAGTTTACGCTAATTCCCACCTCATTGCTGCAGGTCCCCTTTCTCCCTTGCTGTAATACAGTCTCAATGAGGAATCTACACGTAAGATCTGTACAGATGTTTAATGAAGACTGAGGCATTTTGTAACACCCGTAACATTTATTTAATAGTTGCCTATTTAGTTTCTCCCTAAGAACATGCATATTTTTAAATTTTTGATTATTTGAAAAATAATCAATTGAGCCGGGTGTGGTGGTCATGTCTTTAATCCCAGCATTTGGGAGGCAGAGGCCGGCAGATCTCTGTGAATTCAAGGCCACCCTGGTCTAAATAGCAAATTTCAGGCTAGCTGGGGCAACAGGTTTCTGTCTCAAAAAGACCAAAAAAGAAATTAAAATCAAAATTTTAAAAAATCAGTTGAATTACCCACATTTATGTTAACCGCCCCCCGCCCAAAAAAATCGAGCCTGGCCAAATTTAGCTCAGGGAGTTTCAATTTCACTTTTATTGTGACAGCATCTCCTAGCATCCTAGGCTGCCCTCCAACCTGTGATCTTTCTGCCTCAGTTTTCCAAGTGCTGGACCACACTCTGCTAGATCAATCGATGGAGCTATCTGTCTATCTATCAATCTATCTATCATCTATCAATCTACTTTCCTTCCTTCCTCTTTCAGATTTTTATTTTATGTATATGAGTGTTTGACTACATGTATGTATATGTACCATGCCTGTGCCTGGTGCCTGGTGCAGGCCAGAAGAGGGAGGGGATGGTTTGTGGGCCACCATGTGGGTGCTGGGAACTGAACCCAGGTAAGAACAGCAAATGTTCCTAACCCTTGAGCCATCTCTCTAACCCCCCCCCCCGTTTTTTTTTTTAACTCAAACTAGTTTGAAATTCTGTAATCTGGAAGAAACTTTCCCGCCAATGCCAAAACAAAAGATAAATGTCCACAGGGACATCTCTGCAGGCTTCTGAGCGCAGAAGCTATTAAGCACTTTAGGAACAGCACCTTGAGAGTTACCTACAGGAAGAATTTTTTTCCCCTTTGGCATATTGTGGTAGGGATTCCTAGAGCTCTCTTATAATTTTTTTTAAAATCTAGTTTACTTAGGGCTGGAGAGATGGCTCAGTGGTTCAGAGCACTGGTTGCTCTTGCAGAAGATTGGGGTTTGATTCCCAGCACCCACAACTGTCCATAACTCCAGTTCCAGGGGAATCCGAAGCCCTCCTCTGACCTCCGCAGGCAATGCAGGGTGCACCTACCTACAAGCAGGCAATACACTCATATATATAAAAATAAAATTAGTAACAAATAAAATATATTTTTAAAAATCTAGCTTATTTCAGTTTCCGTTAGCTGACCAGCATGCAATTAAGATTGGTGAGAACAGGAAAGATTTCCACCAGCGCAGAACACATCCGGGAGCCGAGGAGGCGTGGCCTTTAGGCGAAGTCTAGGCACGAGGTTTAGGCTCCGCCCATTTGACGACATTCGGCTGCGCATGCCCCTTCCGCCCGCCAGGGGTCGCAGGCTGAGCGAGCCCCTAGTCGCCTTTGGTGAGTGTCGGCCCCTTAGTGTCTTTCGCTCTCGCGAGAGTAGGCGCGAGTCCTGCCGGGAGGGATGCACGGCCGTCCGTAGGCCAGCCCAAAATGGCCGCCCTGGAGGAGGAATTCACGTTGTCTACCGGAGTCCTGAGCGCCGGGCCTGAAGGACTCCTAGGCGTGGAGCAGAGCGACAAAGCAGACCAGTTCCTAGTGACCGACGGCGGCAGGACCGTCGTGCTCTACAAGGTGAGCGTGGCGGCAGCGGCCGTCCTGCTCTGGCCGAATCGGGAGGCTCGGGTTTCCCTCCGCTTGGGAAGGACCTTCTGGAGCCGCCAGGACGGACGCCGGCCTGCGGTGGGACGCCGCACGAGGTCGGGAAGCTGTTTTCCTGTAGACCCGGGGGTGTTTCCGAGTGGGAGACGCAGGTCTGCGTGCTCGTGGGACCCGCTGGGAACCGAGCCTGTCGGAGCAAGCCTCGCGAAGGGGTCTCTGTCACCGCGCCTCGTGCTGGACGAGGCTCGAGTAGATAAGGATGGGGCCACCGAGGCTGACACTGATAGGTCGACAGTGCCCTTGGCCTACCGCTCCTTGGGGCATCTTGGTTTCCTTTTTGTGGGTGAAGAGGCGGAGATTTCTAGATAGCCTGGAAAGAATCTGGATTCCTAGGGATTTGTAAATGGGCAACTCTGGTTCATACTCTGAATTCTGGAGTGAGTCCTGGGAAGTCAAACGTTTTGCCTGCTCTCCCTGGCTCTGCACACTTAGAGAGCAGTGTTTTTTCTGTGATGCTGGACAGTTTCTTATATCATTCAGAAGTGCGCTTTAAAGTTTGGGGGACAGACTGCCAGCAAGTCCCTCTATTGTTTAGATCCTCTTCTGACTGTTGGTTGTTCTCTGGGCTGTGCGGTTGATGTGCAGTTTCTGCATAAGAATACACTGGCTGATGGGAATTCAGTGAACACCACCCCAGTTACTCCAGTCTAATTTTCCATGTTCCAGACCAGTAATGAAACAACTTTTTTTTTTTTTTTTTTTGGTCTTTTTGAAGCAGGGTCTCCCTGTGGCCCCAGCTGTCCTGGAACTCACTATGTAGACCAGGCTGGCCTTGAGCTCACAGAGATCCACCTGCCTCTGCCTCCCAAGTGCTGGGACTACAGGCATGCACCACCATGCCCGGCAATGAAACAACTTTTAAACGTACTCTTCTTTATAAACTGTTTTAATTTGTTTTTTAAATTAAAAGTTGGGAGGTTGTTTTTTTCACCTTTTATGTGTGTGACTGTTGTGCCTTTGTGTATGTAGTGTGTGTGCAGTGCCCATAGAGGTCAGAAGAGGGCGTAAGATCCCCCTGCAACTGGAGTTACAGATGGTTGTTACCCTCCATGTGGGTGCTAGGAACCGAACCTGGGTCCTCTACAAGAGCACTCAGTGCTCTTAACCACTGAGCCATCTTTAAGTGTACATACAGTGAACTGGTGAGTACATTTATACCATTGTGCAGCCATCACCACAGCCCATCTCCAGAGCTCTTGATCTTACAAAACTCAGATTCTGTACCCATTAGAACCATCAGGGCTGGCAAGATGGTTCAGCTGGTAAAGGTACTTGCTGAAAACTTAAGTTCAATCCCTAAGACCCACACAGTAAAAGGGGAGAACTAACTCCTGCCAAGTTGTCCTCTGACTTACACACCAAATAAATAAACAAATGTAATTAAAAAGAGTTGGGCATGGTGGCACAAGCCTTTAATCCCAGCATTCAGGAGGCAGAGGTAGAGGACTGTCTCTTGAGTTCAAAGCCAATCTGGGCTACATCTTGAGTCCCTGTCTCCAAAATAAATAGATAAAAAACTCCTCAGGAAGCTGAGACAGGAGAATGTTTGAGGCCAGCCTGGACTATACAGCAAGACCCTGTCTCAGACAAATAAGAAATATTGACTATTCCTCCCAGCCCCTGGGACCCAGTATTCTCTCCCAGTTTTTACTTAAGGTACGTTATAGGATGAAATTCTCAGTATTTGTAACATATTTTCTTTTTTTTTCTTTTCTCTTTTTTTGACCTTTTTGAGACAGGGTTTCCCTGTAGCCCCAGCTGCCCTGGAACTCACTCTGTAGACCAGGTTGGCCTTGAACTCACAGAGATCCGCCTTCCTCTGCCTCCCGAGTGCTGGGATTAAGAGTATGTACCACCACACCTGGCCATATTTTCCTGTTTTAAAAATTACGTGAAATACTGTCATTTCTGTGGTTTCTTGTTTGTTTTAAATCAAATTGCCTTAATGTCGGAAGCCAAATTCATGAATAGTGTATTCTTTCATTAGGTTTCTGATCAGAAACCCTTGGGGAGCTGGTCGGTGAAACAAGGGCAAATTATAACATGTCCAGCTGTATGCAACTTTCAAACGGGGGAGTATATTGTCGTACATGATAATAAGGTACGTTTTACAACTTCTGTTAGTAATATAGGCAACATAAGATAAATGTTGATGTATGTTATTACTCTTTGTATTGATTACAGGTCAATAGGAGAATGCTTTTTAACAAGATGTGCTTTGATTTAAGGTTTTGAGAATATGGAATAATGAAGATGTGAACCTGGATAAAGTATTCAAAGCCACGGTAAGCCTTTGGATTTTCCAACATGACTCATAGTGTCGCATATGTTACTTATCTTAATGCCTCTGGAAAGTGAGCCCATGGTTGCCATCAGTTTGCCCTTCCCAGAGATCATAACTGTCTCAGTTCATGTGTTACTAGGTTAGAAAATATAGGCTTAATTACTTTGTGAAGATTGATGGCTTAAATAATTAATACTTATTTCCATGAGTTTGACTTTGGGATGTTTCTTGAGAATGAGTGAATTTTTTGTGCCTTTGTTTAAAATAGATAAAATAGACTTTCAAGTTTCAAGTACTTTTTTGTTTGTTTGGTTTTGAGGAAGGGTACCCCTGTAGCACTAGCTGGCCTAGAGCTTGCTATATAGACCAGGTTGGCCTCAATCTCACAGAGATCTACCTGCTCCTGCCTTTTGAGTTATAGTGGACACTTTAAGAGCAATATATAATACCATAAAAAAGAATAATAACTAGATGCGTGATTCTGTTAATGGCTTAAAGTGTGTTAATTAACTTTTTCTTACTGATAAAATGAGGATCTCAAATGAGGTTAATCTCAAAACTTACAGTTCTAGATGTCTAACATTATAATTGGTACATTTTAAAACTCACAATAAGGCTAAAACATCTGACTTCACTGTTGCCTAGACCCTTGAAATGTCTATCTAACCCACTGTGCTCTCTCCTGACTCCAGTCTTTTCATTGACTTTAAAGAAAAATAATCTTGAGTTTTACTTTGTGAAAGTTTTTGTTTTTTGAGACAGTGAATTATGTAATTTAAGCTGACCTTGAACTCACTATGAAGCCAAGGGTGATCATGAACCTCTGATCTCCTACCTCCACCTCCACCTCCTAAGTGCTGGGATTACAGGTGTGCACTATACCAACCAACCTGTGGAGATGATGGGAATCAAACCCAGGACTTCATGTCCTCGTGTGTTATGCAAACACCCTACCAATTGAGCTGCATCTCTAGATATCAGGGACTTGGGTTTTTTTGTTGTTGTTTTGTTTTGTTTTGCTTTTCTTTTTTTTTTTTTTTTTTTGAGACAGGGTCTCCCTGTAGCCCCAGCTGTCCTAGAACTCACTATGTAGACCAGGCTGGCCTTGAACTCACAAAGATCCACCTGCCTCTGCCTCCCAGGTGCTGGGATTAAAGGCTCGTACCACCACGCCCGGCCCTTGTTTTTCTTTTTAAATATTTCTTTCTCTATTTTGGGAGGAGGGGCCATGCATGTGCCAGAACACATATGGAGGCCTGTAGAAGTTGGTTTTCTCCTTCTACCATGTGGGTCCTAGAGTTTGAACTCATGTTGTTAAGCTTGGCAGCAAGAGCTTTAACCCGCTGACCCATCTCACCAGCCCCTCAGTGATGGTTTTTAAGCCCACTTATGGGGGCTCAGTAGTACAAAGCTTGCCTAGCCCTTGGTTCAGTCCCAATAACTACAGAGAGAAGGAAATAAAGAAATAGTTGAACATGTCTTTGATCCCACCACTCAGGAGTCAGAGGCAAGCAGATCTCTGTGACTTCAAGGCCAACCTGGTCTACATAGAGAATGGTAGGTTAGCTGGGGCTCCCGGGAGACTCTTGTCTCAGAAAACCAAACAAGAACAAAAAGAAATTAGTGTCTTAAAAATAAGCCTTCCTTGCCGGGCATGGTGGCGCATACCTTTAATCCCAGCACTCGGGAGGCAGAGGCAGGCGGATCTCTGTGAGTTCAAGGCCAGCCTGGTCTACATAGTGAGTTCCAGGACAGCTGGGCTACAGAGAGACCCTGTCTCAAAAAAGACAAATAAATAAATAAGCCTTCCTCGTCAGGCATGGTGGCACGTGGCTTTAGTCCCAGCACTTGGGAGGCACAGGCAGGCGTATCTCTGAGATCTAGGCTAGCCTGGTCTACATAGTGAGGGCCAGGTCATTAGGGCCACAGGGAGCCCTATCTCAAAAAGATTTAATTAATTAATTAATTAATTAATTTTTTAAAAAACCAAGCCTTCCTTGCCAGGTGTAGTAGCATGTGTTAGCCACTAGGGACCTAAAGCAGGAGGATCATGCGTCTGTGGCCAGCCTAGACAACATAGCAAGACTTCCCATCTCAGAAACAAAGCAGGCCTTCTATAAATGCCTCAACTATATTACAAGTCTGTTGTTTGGGAATAAAACTTTAAAAACTCTAAACGTTTTTCTAGCTGTCAGCAGAAGTCCATAGGATCCACTCAATACCAGGGGCAGAACCTTTGGTGCTCTTCAGCAGTGGTGCCATTCGTGGTTTAGAGGCCTTGCTTGCAGAGCCTCAGCAGAAAATCGAAACTCTTATATCTGATGAAGAAGTGATTAAGTAAGTTCCAATATTTGCATGTGATTTTTATCAGAAGAACATGCACTGTGCATTATTTTGATACTTTTTAAATACTTTATCATTTTTATGTGTGTGAGTGTAATGCCTACGTGTAGGTAGGTGCACCCTTGGTGTGCACTTCCTGAACAGGTCAGAAGAGAGCATCAGAGCCCGTGTAACTGGAGTTACAGACAGTCCTCTGCAAGAGCAGTCAGTGCTCTTAACTGCTGAGCCATCTCTCCAGCCCCAATTTTGCTGTTTTCTTTACATTGGGGCTAAGGAGTATAATTCATGGGTAGAGCCCTGGCTAGCATGTATGAAGCTCAGAGTTCAGTCCCCAGCACCCAAGAAAAAAGTAGCCTAATTAAAACCCACGTATTGCTGGGTGTGGTGGCACATGCTTATAATCTCATCACTTGGGAGGCAGAGGCAGGAAGAGCTCTGTGAGTCCAAGACTAGCCTGGTCTACATAACCAGTTCCAAGCCAGTGAGAATTACCCTATCTCAAAACAGACAGCAGCAACAAAAAGCACTTATACTGGCCGGAATCCCCAGAGCCTGTGGGAAAGTAGATGAGGAAACCATAGCCATGAGTCCTGGATAATAATGGGAAACTGCATCGTCAAGTATTTGAAGATGAAATTAGTAATTCCGGAAGTCTAAAATCTTTGATTCTTGGTCCCTAGCTACCAAGTCACAGCCCTTTTCCTCTGGAGAAAAGCATAGCTTGTTAGGAAGATTATGGTAGTGCTTTAGGACCTCTGCTTTCCCAGATTCTGGAACAACACTGGGCAAATAACTCTCCCAAGTGATAGAAGTATGAGTCTCGTTATTTTATCACATTTCCTGGTCAGTTGACTTGCTGCCTCTCCAGGTCCACGTGGTGGAAACTAAATTTCCAAAGGATAAAGCAAAGACTTGAACATAGTAAGTGAGCGGTGCAGACAGTGACCAGCTTAATAATCATCTGACTGAGGCATGCCTCTAAGCTTTGAGCAGCTGTTTGGGGATAACCTTGGGGTTCTAATCCCTTTGCCACAAACTAGCTATGCTGCCTTAGTTATTTGGGTCCCTTAGCCTCCTGTGGCTCATTCCCTGTTTCTCAAAGAAGGCAGATAAGATCCTGATGTTTTCCTCAGAACACTAGTCTCCAAAGTAATTGTGAAGAAAGGCAGGGCTGGGGAGGTCCATTTAAGCTGTGAAAGCACAGCACACAGTTACCCCTCTCAGGACCTCGTAGTTTTCATTATTGCTTGGAAAGTTCAGAGATGCATTTGACCAAGAACTGCCTACTGCCGGTGGTATGTATTTTAAAACATTAAGTTAGACATTCTCTGACTTCAAAAAATAAGTTATTCCTTAAGTTTATGATAAATATGTTTTCAGTTGGTTTTTGTATTTTCTAATTTCTTTTTTTTTTAAGGTGGTCAAAGTTTTTCATGGTGTTTAAGCATCCTGTTTTAATTTTATATTTCTGGGAATTTTCTTTGTTTTTTATTTTTTTGCTGGTGATGGTGGTGAAGTAAGTAATATTTTTTATTATTTTTATTTTAATGTATATGCATCTATTGCCTGCATGTAGGTAATTTTTTTAATTTACTTTTTTTTTTTTGTCTTTCTGAGAGGGGGTCTCCTTGTAGCCCCAGCTGTCCTGGAACTCACTATGTAGACCAGGCTGGCTTTTATGTGTATGAGTGTATTGGTTGCCTGTTTGTAAGTGTACCCGTGTCACGCAGTACCCATGGAGGTCAGAAAAAGGCGTTGGATCCCCTGGAACTGGAGTTATGGATGTTTGTTAGCCACCATGTTGGTGCTGAGAATTGAACCCAGGTCCTCTGCAAGAGCATTCAGTGCTATTAACCACTGAACTATCTCTTCAGCCCCTTTTGTGACATTTTACATTTACATATTACTTTCAACACTAAAATAACTGTTTTAACTATTTCCATGCCTAAATTTTATAGTATTTTGAATTTAATTAAAGCCAGGTGTGGTGACACATGCCCGTGATCTCAGCATTTGTTTGAGGTCAGCTGGAACTACATAGTGAGACACTGTCTCATAAAACCAAGGGCTGGGACATACCTGGATGGCACAGCTCTCGTTTACCAGGCACAAGGCCTTGGATTCTATCCCAAGCATGAGTGGGAAAAAATTTTAATTGCATGAGGGGTTCTGTTGATTTGGGTTACAGCATGTCTATATAATCCTGGCTGACCTGGAACTCACTGTGTAGACCAGGCTGGCCTGAAATTTGTAGCAGTTTTCCTGCTCTGCCTCCTGGGTGCTGGGATTACAGGCATGTTCCACAGCCATTGAAGAAAGTAGAGTGCAGCAAGAAGTTAGTTGAAATGAGGATATTTATAAAATTCTTTTCTTTCAGCATGAAAATTATTTTGTTTATGTACAAATGTGCAAATCACATAGCTTAAGCAAGTACACACTCTTACTTGGAAAAGAAGAAAAATCTATTACACCAAAGTTTACTGCGTATGTGGATCGGAAATTCATCTCTTTGATGTCATTAAGTAAGTTTTCCTGAACATCCAGAGGTGGTAAATAGAAGGCTATTAGGAGATGGTGTGCAGTTAAGATTCTTGAGCTTTCTGCAGTCTTCTTTACAGCCCCTCCCTTGCCATGCGTCCTTCCAGGCAGCTCATGCCTTTGCTTTTACCACTTGGCCTTGTCTGCCATGCATTGGATCGGTGATGCTGTGTTTTGAGCTGGGACTGAAAAAGTTTAGAAACAGCATAGTTCCAATTTTTTTTTTTTTTTTTTTTTTTTTTAGTCTTTTTGAGACAGGGTCTCCCTGTAGCTCCAGCTATATAGTGAGTCCTGGAACTCACTATGTAGACCAGGCTGGCCTTGAACTCACAGAGAACTGTCTGCCTCTGCCCCTCAAGTGCTGGGATTAAAGGCATACGCCACCACGCCCGGCCCCAATCATTTCTGTAACTTTCTTTTTAAACTTCTTGTATGTGTGTGAGTGCATGTTTGTGCCATGGTTCATGGTGTAGATGTCAGAGGACAACATTGTGGAGTTGGTTCTCTTTCTACCTTTACACAGGTTCCAAGGAATGAGCTCAGGGTAGTAGGCTTGCACAGCAAGTGTCTTCACCCACTGAGTCATCTTGCCAGACTTTTTTCTCTGAGGCAGGGTCTTGTATCCCAGGCTGGCTCTAAACTCATAGGCAAGAATGACCCTGAACTTCTCATCCTCCTGCCTCCACCTTCCAAGTCCTGGGATTGCAGGAGTATGTGCCATCATGCCTGGTTTTATGTGATGCTGGGGAGTGAACTCAGGGCCTTGGGTGTGTTAGACAAGCACTCTACTAACTAACTACAACTCCCCTTATTTTGGATTTAGTAGGTAATAGCCTATACACGTAGGCCATTGCACAGATTTTGATGCCAAGTCAGAGGACAACTTTCCCGAGTTGGTTCTTCTTCCATCATGTGGATGCTGGGAAACAAACCCTCTTCTTCCATCATGTGGATGCTGGGAAACAAACCCAGGTGGACAGGTTTGGTGACAAGTGCCTTTACCTGGCAAACCATCTCAGTAGTCCATGGTTCAGATTTTCTGAACATGTGATTAGTGGACCGTAAGATACCTGCCCCAGATGGGCGTTAGTTGTTGGTCAAGAGGACCACGAGGCCAGCCTAGACTACATAGCAAGTTTAAAGGTAGCCTCAGCAACATGGTGAAAATTAAGGACTGGGATATAGCTCAGTAGAAGTCTGCCTGCTTAACATGTACAAAGCCCTGAGTTCAGTCCCCAGTACAGGAAAAAATCTGCTTGACATTGAATAGTTCCTTTAGTGCTTTTTTTTCCTCCACTACATTTAGTTATTACAAGTACTTACAGGTTCTGTTCTGTCTATAGTGGAGATCCAAACCCATGGCCTGATGGCTGCTAGTCAGTTTCTCTGCCACTAAGCTACTTCCCCCAGCTCAGATATTTAGTTTTTATTTTTTGGTATTAACATTTGTTCTGAGACAGGGACTCCCTATATAGCCCACACTGGCCTTAAATTAGATCGTCCTGCCTTAATGCTGGGATTAAGACATGTCCCATTGTGCCTAGTTCATGGCATTTTTTGCTTGATATTTATCAGTAATAAGTCCCTCCACCCCATTCTAAATTTGTAATATATTTGTTAAGGGAAAACATAGAACGATGTGCTTGTTAGATGGATTAGATTATTTACTGAATTGGTAGACTTAAAACATCCTAATACATTTGATGTTAGGAGATATGAAACTTTACCCTTTACTAATCAACAAATATTTGCTCCCACAGGCTCTGATGGATGTATATATGAAACCTTGATACCAACATATTCAACTGACACAGAAAAAAATCAGAGGTTAGTTAGATCATTGGTGCTCAAGGCTGTTGTGTCTGGTGGTGCTCGAAATCGAACTACACTCACCAACCTGGATCAAGACCATGTGGCAGTCCTAGGACCTCCGCTACCAGCTTCCAAGGGTAACTGAATCACTAAGTCTCTGCATTTTCCCCCTCAAATTTAGCTTTAGCCGTTTATCTTTTTTTCATCTTTCTCTTTCTTTCTTGCAAAGTCTCACTGTGTAGCACAGGCTGGGCCTCAATCTCAAGATCTTCCTACCTCAGGTTCCCAAACACTGGGCTTACAGGTGTGTATCCCCATGCCCAGTGATTTACAGTATTAAATCTTCCAATTCACGAACTCAAGATGTTTATCCATCTATTTCTGTTTTCCTTCATTTCTATTAGCAATAATTTGGTTGATTTTCTTATATTTTTTAGTGTTCAATTATTTACTTCCTTGGTTAAATATATTCTTTTACATGCTAATATAAATGGATTTTCTTTTGTAACTTCAGATTTTTCATTTCTAGGTTGTAGAAACACAGCTGATTTTTTAAAAATATTTTATTTTATGTGTATGAGTGTATTGCCTGCATACATGTGAGGGCACTCATGTCATGCAATGCCTTGGAGGTCAGAAAGGGCTTCAGATTCCCCTGGAACTGTAGTTAAGGACGGTTCGTAGCCGCCATGTGGGTGCTGGGAATCGAACCCAGGTCCTCTGCAAGACCAGTCAGTGCTCTTAACTGCTGAGCCATCTCTCCAGCCCCAACAAAGGTGATTTTTATGTGTTGATCTTAAACCCTGAAATTTTGCTAAATTTATTTATGGATGCTAGTTTGTATGTGTTCGTTGGGATTTTGTTTACATGGGGTCATGTCAACTGTAAATATAAATTGTTTTACTTCCTTCTATACTTGGAGAAGGAAGCCTTTACTTTTTCTTCTCTTGCCTGATTGCTTTGGCTAGAGCTTCAGTGGGCGGTGAACTAGCAGTGGTGAGTGGGGACCCATGTCCTGTTTCTTATCTAGAGGGAAGCCTGTCAGTCTCACCTTAGTTTGGTGAGCATCTTAGCTTTCTCATAGATGCCCTTGATCTTATCCAGGAAGTTCCTTTCTCTTCCTGGTTTTCTGAGTGTTTTTATCATAAGAGTTTTAGGGTTTTTGTTTGTTTGTTTTTGTCTTTTTGCGACAGGGTCTCTGTAGCCCCAGCTGGCCAGAAACTCGCTATGTAGACCAGACTGGCCTCGAACTCACAGAGATCCGCGTGCCTCTGCCTCCCGAATGCTGAGATTAAAGGCATGTGCCACCATGCCCAGCTGTTTATGAATTTTAATATGCTATTGGATTCAACTTGTTAGTATTTTGTTGAGGGTTTTTTTTTTAACAACTGTATGAAAGAGTTTGGTGTTAATTTCGTGTTTGGTAGGATTTACCTATGAAGTCATCTGGTCCTGGGGCTTTTCTTTGTTGAGTATTGTTCTAATTATAGACTCTTACATGATCTAAGACCTGTAAGAGTTTGTTTTCCACTCCACTACTTCCATGCAGTCACTCCTTGTTTCTACTTAATAAGGCAAACTTGTATGTATTTACTTCTGTCTCCTTCCCTCACCCAGAGATCTCGCATACTTACAGTCTGTTTCTGAATTTGCATAACTTATTTTATAGAATGCCTCTCCATATGGAACAGAAAATTTCAAACATTACAGTCTTCAAAAGAGTTCCCACAAGGAACCAGTGGTCAAGTAAGTTGGTGGGGTTTTTTTTGTTTTGTTTTGTTGTCTTTTTGAGACAAGGTCTCCCTATAGCCCCAGCTGACCCGGAACTATGTAGACCAGGCTGGCCTCGAACTAACAGATACCTGCCTGCCTCTGCCTCCCAAGTGCTGGGATTAAAGGTGTGTACCACCACACCCCGAAAGTTGGGGGGGTTTGTTGTTTTGTATTTTCTTGAAGACTCTTCAAATAATTGGTTCTGGTTTGGGATTGTGTTTTTGCTTAAGATAAAGTGTTGCTATGTAACCCAGGATTGGCCTGAAACTTGCAGTTCCCCTGCCCTAGCCCTTGAGTACTAGAATTATAGATGTGTGCCACCGTGGTGGACCAAATTTAGTAATTTGGCTTTCTGGTAAGTATTCTGTGAGGGGAGACAGTTCTTTTCACATCTAAATATTTTTAGAATTACAATTAGTGTTTTACCTGAAAGATTACATTCGAGTTTTGTTTAATAGCTTGTTTTACCACTTTGAAAAAACTAAACTATGGTTAATTTTAGATTAAGAGAGAGCAATTTTGTTTTTAGCTGCTCTTTGGGTGGTTTTCTTTGTGTGTGTGTGTGTGTGTGTGTGTGTGTATTTTAAATTGCAACCTAACGTGTTACTTTTCCATAATAAATTAGCTGTTTAAGCTCTATGTTAAATGTTACTGTATTAGCTGTCTTTTCTGTTGCTATGATAAAACACAAAAGCAATTCATAGAGGGAAGAGTTTATTTGATTTTGGTTCCAGAGGGTGAGAGTCCATCATGGCGGGGCAGAATGGAAGGAGACAGCAGGAAGGAAAGCAAGCCACACTGGAAGTGGGACAGGCTGGATACTCTGAAAGCCCACCTCAGTGATGTGCTTCCCGCAGCATGGCCACACCTCCTAAAGGTTTCATGACCCTCCCCAAACGGCACCACAGAGTGAGGACCAAGTGTCCAAATACTTGGAGGCTATGGGGGACGTTCATTCAAACCACCACAGTTACCGTGCTTGCTTAAAGAACTGAAATTTAAGCTGACCCAAACTGAAGGCTGGAGTCCTTGTCTGTTTTGAGTGATGGATTGAATTTCATTTCCTTTCAAACATGCCAAATATTTAGTGTTTGGCAACTAAACATTTGCATATGCAAATAAAGTCAATTAGGACAGTAGGATGTTCGTGACTTTTTAACAGTGTTTTTTTGAAGGGGTCTTTTTTAGACAGGGTCTCTCTGTAGCCACAGCTGGCCTGGAACTCAGTATGAAGACCAGTATGGCCTGGATTCACTGAGATCTGTGTGCCTCTTCCTTTAGAGTGCTGTGGCTAAAGGTGTATGCCACTTTTTAAAATTATGTATATGGATGTGTGTCTTGTTGGGGTATGTACACATGAGTACAGGTCTCCACAGAGGTCAGAAGAGGGCATTAGATCCCTCTTGAGCTGGAGTTACACCCAACTGTGAGCCACCCAACATAGGTGCTAGGAACTGAACTTGTATCCTTTGTAAGAGTAGTACTTGCTGTCAACACTGAGCCTTCTCTTCAGCTCCAGATGTTACTGATTTAATTAAAGGCTAGAGACTGGGTTATAATTACATTTGAACAAATGATTTTGCAAAATCAACTACTTATAATTCTACTCTAGCAAACGTTGGGAGCCAAGAGTTCCTGTAATCCCAGCACTCAGGAATTGTAATTGTATCCAGCCTGGGCTACATAGTGAGCCTGTCTCAAAACATCCAACCAAATAAAGGCCTTTAGAGAGTGCTGAATTCACATTTGATCTCAATAAATTGTGCATATTATATTCTTTTGGAAAGGAACTTATTTTCCTTATTTTGTGTTGTATTGAGATAGCTTAGAAGGTAAGTTATTGTTATGTTAAAAGCTTGAGTTTGAGCCAGGTGTGATGGCACAGACCTTTAATCCCAGTCAGGGAAGCAGAGGCCTCTGTGAAATAGAAGCCAGCAGCTACATAGTGAGTTCCAGGCTACAACAAGGAGACCCTGTCTTTAAAAAAAATTTCGAGTTAAAGACTACATCAACAGATGAAGAAAATGTGGTCTGTTTACATAATGGAGTTTTCCTCGTAAAGAGGAATGAAATGTCTTAAGGAAAATAGATTGCTGGGCCTGGTGGTGAACACCTTTTATCTCAGTATTCCGGAGGCAGAGACAGGCTAATCTCTGAAATCAGGGCCAGCCTGATCTACATAATGAGTTCTAGGCAAGCTGGGGCTACAGAGAGATCCTGTCTCAAAAAGACCAAAATGTGGGGCTGGAGGGATGGCTCAGCAGTTAAGAACACTGGCTGTTCTTGCAGAAGACCCAGGTTCAAATCCCAGCACCCACATGACAGCTAACAACTGTCAGTAACTCCAGTCCCAGGGGATCCGACAGCGTCTCCTGTCTTCCGAGGCCATTGCATGACACAGATGCACTTACCTACATGCAGGCAATACCTCATACGCATAAAATAAAAATAATAAAATTTTTTTTTTAAAAGACCAAAAAGCAAAAAAAGGAAATAGACGGGATTTTAAAATCATGATACACAAAATAAGCCAAACTCTGAAAAATATCAGGATTTTTCTCTCATGCTGAGTCTAGACTTTTTTGTTTTAATATTTTTTATTTTATGTGTATGTGAGTGCACCCATGTCCTGTAATGCCTGTGGAGGTTAGAGGAGGGCATTGGATCCCCTGGAACGGGAGTTACAGACAGTTGTTAGCTGTCATGTGGATGCTACGATTCGAACCTCGGTCCTCTGAAAGACCAGCCAGTGCTCTTAACCGCTGAGCCATCTCTCCAGCCCAGAGTCTAGACTTTTAGGAGAAGATGAACAGCAGGGGTAGATGGAGAGTGGGTAAGTGGGGGCTGACTGTGAACTATAGGAAAATGTAATGGAGGCCGTCATAAAGTAAGTTAAGGGCCATTATTGAGTCAGATCTTAGAAAAAAATACATGCTTACTTTTTTCTTTCTTTTTTCTTCTAGCTCTGGTATTATGGGGAAATATTGTTTATGCTGCATGGAAAATGTCTAACGGTAATTCCATACAAGTGTCAAGTGTCATCATTAGCAGGAGCCCTTGGAAAACTGAGGCATAGTCAAGATACAGGTAGAAACAAACTTACACACTTGTTTTATTAACACAAAATATTTTATTAGCTCCTAGTTTCATATGCAGCCTCCTATTTATAGTAGGGCCTTTCTTGCCTTTTGGGGGGGTTTTGAGACAGGGTCTCCCTATAGCTTCAGCTGGCCTGGAACTCACTATTGTAGACCAGGCTCGCCTTGAATTCATGAAAGATCTGCCTACTTTTGTATCCCAAGTGTTATGATTAAGGACATGAGCCACCATGCCTGGCGTAGGGCCTTAACTTTGAAATTTGATGTTCACTGAAATTTCCCTGACCAAGTGTCTACCTTGGGAATGGCCCAAATTGCAAGCATTACAAAAAACTGAAAAGCCACACTGTTTTAGTGGTTTCTGTTGTATGAATTTGGTGGTGGTGGTGGTGGTGGGAGGGGCTTTTGAGACAGGATTTCCCTGCAGTCCCAGCTGGCCTGGTACTCCCTATGTGGACAGGCTGGCCTCCAGCTCTCAGAGATCCACCTGCCTCTGCCTCCCAAGTGCTGGGATTAAAGGCATGTGCCACCATGCCTGGCGTGTACAAATGTTTTGCTTGCATGTATGTAAGTGTACCACATGCATGCAGTGCCCTGCAGAGGCCAGAAGATGGTGTCCAGATCCTCTGAAACTGGAGTTATGGATAGTTGTTAGCTCCCATGTGGGTGCCGGGAATCAATCCCGGGTCCTTTTGAAGAACAGCAAGTTTTCTTAACCTCTGAGCCATCTCTCCAGCCCTAGTTTTTGTTGTTTTTGAGACAGATTCTTGCTGTGTAGCCCTGGCTGGACTGGAACTCACAAAGATCTGCCTATCTCTGCCTCCCAAGCCCTAGGATTAAAGATGTGTGCCACCACACCCAGCCAAACTGTTGTTAGCGTCTGTGTTCTTCTGAATAAGGGCAATGAGGGAATCCCCAAGGCAGATCAATACTGCCTCAACCTTCCCTTTTTTTTGGTACCTTAACAATGTTACTGGTGGTTTACCAATTTGAGGTTATTAGTGGAATTAAAATTTGAGGCCTCAGCCAGGCATGATGGTGCATGCCTTTAATCCTAGCACTCAGGAGGCAGAAGCAGGCGGATCTCTGTGAGTTCAAGGCCACCCTGGTCTACATAGTGAGTTCTAGGACAGCTGGGGCTACAGAGAGACCTTGTCTCAAAAAGACCAAAAATAAAAAATATATAAATAAATAAATAAAATTTGAGGCCTCTCTTGAAGTGTATATAAGTGGTTCTGTTGTTCTTTAGTCGGATAACAGTTGGTCAAGATTGCTCAATAATTTTACGTTTTGTGTTTCCTTAGGCACTTGCTCCATGCCCCACTTTGTAAACTGGGAAATGTGTGAGGGATATGAACTTGAATCCCACAGTGCAGCGCAGTCAAGGAGAATTGTAAGTTTAGTAGTTGAATAAAAAATGTTAGGGTAAATGTTGATAAACAGGAAAAGGCTGAATGATTTTAATGGTTTATATCTGTGTAACTCTTAAATGTTTGGTCTTAATAACAGGGCAGTTTGAGGTTTCACCCCTGTAACATCATAGTCTTTAGCCAAAATTCATGTGTAGTCTTATTTTATTTGTAATTGGGAGGTGGGGATCAATATGTACACATGATTCAGCTCCCCTGGAACTTGAGTTGCAGTCAGTTGTGAGCCACTTGACATGGGTGTTGGTTATCGAATTCGTGTCTTCTTCAGGAATAGCAAGTGCTCTTAACCACTGAGCCATCTCTCCAGCCCTTATCTGTTAATTTTTATGGATGTGTGTGGTATTAACTAAATTTCAGGTAAGAAAATAAGCCAGCTTGCAATTAGCAGTAATACTCTCCTGAGAATAAAGATTTTATGTTTTTTAAAAAAAACCTCAGCTGGATATGGTGCCTTGTGCCTCTATCCCATCAAGCACTTAGGAGGCAGAGGCAAAATTACAAGTTTGAAACCTACCTGAACTACATAATGAGTTCCAGGCCACCCTAAGTTTAAAAATCTTATTTGAGTTGAAATAAAACCAGTTTCCTTCTAACAAAGTTTGTTTTTAAAAGTATCAATGCCTGGTATGGTGGCACACACCTTTCATCCCAGCACTCAGGAGGCAGAAGCAGGCAAATTCTCTTAAGTTGAGGCCAGCCTGGTCTATAGAATGAGTTGCAGGCCAGCTGGGGCTATAGGGAGACCATGTCTCAATATATATATTGGGGTAGAAGAGATGAGTCCACAATTAATAGCACATACTGCTTTTGTAGAGGACTCAAGTTCAGTTCCCAGCACCACAGCAAGTGGCTCACAACTGCCTGTTAACTCCACCTCGAGGGGATCTAATGCCTTCTCCTGGCCTTTGTAGGCACCTGCACTCAGATGCACATACTTACTACACAGGCAAATAATTAAAAATAAAATCTAGCTGGGTGTGATGGTGCACGCCTTTAATCCCAGCACTCTGGAGGCAGAGGCAGGCGGACCTCTGTGAGTTCAAGGCCAGCCTGGTCTCCATAGCGAATCCAGGACAGCTAGGGCTACAGGGAGACCCTGTCTCAAAAAGACCAGAAATAAATAAATAAATAAGCAAATAAGTAAATAAAATCTTTAAGAAATCTACATATATTTGAAGTATGAGGTCATACTTAGTGTCCTAACCTAATCTGTTTCATACTCCTTTAGATTTCTGGTGGATATTTTGCATTGTTTGAAATCCTAATGAGTTTGCTTTATTCCAGCTAAGGAGAAAAAAGATGGAAGCCAGTTTACAGCCAGAAGTTCCAGGATCTGAACAACTTTTATCGATAATAAATGTAAGTAAAAAACACTAGAATTAGGGCTGGTGAGATGGCTCACACAAGCCTGGCAACCTTAGTTTAATCCCTGGAACCCACATAATGGTGGGAAGAGAAAACGGACTCCACACACCATGGCACTTTTAAGTACTGGAAATATTTTAAAAATCAAGTGGTTCAGAGGGACCAGTCTAGTTTTCATTCTACCTGTTCTAATGTTTCATGTTCTCTCTGGTGAATATTTGTATATTATATTTTAAGGTTATCAGAGTTGGTGCAAAACTTTTATTTATTTGACTCTTTATCTCAAAGATTTATGATCTGGTTACACTGTTTACAGTGTAGCCTTCTAAAGATTTGATATCCGAACTGGAAAGATGAGCAGCTAAGAGCACTTGCTGGTCTTGCACAGGACTGGGGTGTCTGGTTCCCAGCACCCACTCGATGGCTTACAATCATCTGTAAGTTCCAGTGCCCTCTTCTGGCCTCCATAGGTATTAATGCACATGGTGCACTTACATACGTGCAGCCAAAACAGTCATACACATAAAAGTAAGAAGAAAAAAAAAATTTATAGAGATTTGAGAGGCCAAGCATGGTGTCACATGCCTTTAAACCCAGCTCTCAGGAAGCAGAGATAGGATCTCAGTGAGATCTAGGCCAGCCTGGCCATAGTGAGTTCCACGTCAGCTGAGGGTATAGGGAGACCCTGTCTCAAAAAACCGTAACAAAAAAATTCTGAACTCTTAGATATTTTTCCCCCATGCAGTTTTTTGTTTTTGACAGAGTTTTCCTAGCCCTACCTTGCCTGGAAGTTACTACATAGATCAGACTGGCCTCATCTCACAGAGATCTGCCTGCCTCTGCCTCCTGGGGGCAGGGATTAAAGGCACATGCCTGGCATTGCCCTTTGCAGTTTTTTGTGTTAAAGATTGTAATGTCAACTTGTTTTATAGAAATGTGTGAAATTGTTAGTATTTTGAACTGGGAAGTGTTTGTTTTTTTGGTTTTTTTTTTTGTTTTGTTTTTTTTTCAGAGTGAAATTTATTAATGTGCCATACTGAATTCTTCCATTTTACCCTTTCAGAAAGACTCAGAAAAACACATTGAAGTAGAGCTACGTAAATTTTTGGCCACGTCAACCCCTGACTTTCATACTTTACTTGGAGATGTGATAACAGGACTTCTGGGAAGATGTAAAGCAGAGCCATCCTTTTATCCCCGGAACTGTCTGATGCAGCTCATCCAAACGCATGTGCTTTCCTACAGGTAGATATGTGTCAAACACCATATGCAAAAAAAAAAAAAGGCCAGGTGTGGTGGCACACTGGAGAGGCAGAGGCAGGTGGATCTCTGTGACAACAAAGTCACCCTGATCTACATAGCAATTCCCAGGCCAGCTGGGGCAGTCGGGAGACCCTGTCTGAAAAAAAACAAAAATTTAAGAGCCGTGTGTGGTAGTGCACACCTTTAATCCCAGCATTTGGGAGGCAGAGGCAGGCAGATCTCTGTGAATTCAAAGCCAACCTGGTTTCCATAGTGAGTTCCAGAACAGCTGGGACCTGTCTCAAAAGATTTTTTTAATTAATTAATACAACTTTTTCATCTCAGCTTGTGCCCTGGCTTGATGGAGATTGCCTTAGAGCGCGCAGATGTACAGATGTTACAACTCTGCCTGCAGCAGTTCCCTGACATTCCTGAGTCTGCGACCTGTGCCTGCTTAAAGCTCTTCTTAAGGTAGAGTGGTCTTTTCCTTCACTTCGTTCTAAGTCTCTGACTTAATTCGAGTTCTGAAACTCTGAAAGCTTAGAAAATGAATTTGAGTTTCAAGTAGTAAGAACTAACCTCTTGCTTTCCATTGACACTGTAGCATTGGGGATGACAGTCTGCAAGACATGAGTGTCAGTATGGAGTCAGTGTTTGATTGTAGTGATACCATGCAAGATGAGGAAATGGAAGAGCAAACTGAAGTTGTTCAGAATGGCTTCAGTCCCAAAGACAGTAACTGCAGTAACGAGAATCAGGAGTTAAGTGAAAAGCCTGGAGCAGCAAAGACAGTCTCGTGCCCTGTGACACCAAAGCGAGCAGCTCTGCTGTATCCTTTGAAACACTCACTTGTGCTCTCTTTCTAGGGATATAGTTATATGCCAAGCGCTAAATATGGAATAAGTAATTTAACAAGCTTCTTTTTTCAACTTTTCAACATCTGTTGAACTGGATTATATTTGCTGCCACATTCAATTGACTTACTTAAACCTGTTTTCCTGCCTCCCCCTTCCTCTTCTTCCTCCACCCCCACCCCCACTGTGTGCTAAAGATACTACAAGAGATCAGATCCATGGTCGTGTATGTTCTTGCCAAGCACTCTACTGCAGGACTGCATCCCCAGCCGTTTATGCCTGTTTTCTTTGTTTGGAGGGAGAGTTTGAGTTTTGGTTTGATTTTAAATCAGTTTCGAAAAAGGGTCTCACATCACCAGGGAGGACCTTGAACTCCTCATTCTTCTATCTGTAGCTAAGTGCTGAGATACTGGTGGGTGCCAACATGTCTGTTTTCTTAAGAAACTATATTGGGGCCTGGCATGGTAGTCCATGCCCCTTTTTTTAAAACTTTATTGAGAATTTCATACATGCATATAAGATGTTTTGATCAAATCCACACCCACTCCCTCCCCTCCAGCATCTCCCATCCTCTCCCCTCCTCTCCCTCTCTTTCTTTCTTTTATGGGGCTTTTTGCTACTTTAACATTACCCCCTCTGAAAAGGTAACCTGAAATCTCTTAGGGATTAGTTAAGAGCTCCCCGATACTTTTGACATTTTTGGCTTTTGGAACAGAGTATGTTGTTAAGAAGCCCAAGGACATTGTGACTTTTAGCCAAGAAACTGGCTACTTTTCTTTCGGGTCTTTTTACCCTAACTGCCTAGCCAATTCCTACCTCCTATTCTTAACACACCATCCTCTGAAGAATTGCCAATAGGGAATCAGGACGCAGCCTGCTTTGGCTTCTTTCATGCTGAACAGGGAAAGGATGCAGGGTGAAGCAGTTGGGGTACCCCTTCAGTGGGTCTATCTAAAAGACTTCCAAGTTGCATAACTCTTATCACCACCTGGGGGCAGGATCTAGGCGCTCTCAGGCGGTCCCCTGAGTTCTCAGCTCCTATGCCAGAGGGAGGCCGGAATAGGCACTCTGGTGGTCTACCAGTGGCCCATGCCGTTAATCCCAGCACTTGGCAGCCAGAGGCAGGCAGATCTCTGTGAGTTAAAGGTCAGCCTGATATGCATAGTGAGTTCTAGGTCAGCTGGGAGGCAGAGGCAGATGGATCTCTGTGAGTTCAAGGCCAGCCTGGTCTACATAGTGAGTTCCAGGACAGCTGGGGCTACAGGGAGACCCTGTCTCAAAAAGACTGAAAAAAAAAAAACAACAGAAAAAAAAACTATAATGGGTAGTAGGTGAACCTGGAGAAATGGCTCAGCAGTTAAGAGCACTAGCTGCTCTTGCAGAGGACCAGGGTTTGATTCTCAGCACCCACATGGCAGCTAATAGCTGTCTGTAACTCCAGTTCCAAGGGAATCTTGTGACCTCCAAGGGCACTGGACAATATGGGTACACTTACATACATGCAGACAATACACTCATACACATAAAATTAAATAATTTTTTAAAATTTTCAAAAAACACTACTGGGAAGTGGGGGCTGGAGAGATGGCTCCACAATTAAGAACATTGGCTGCTTCTGCAAAGGACCAAGATTTGCTTTTTAGCACCCACACGGCAGCTAACAGCTGTCTCTAACTCCAGTTCAAGGGAATCCGATGTCCTTTTCTGGCCTCCAAGGGCATTGCATGTGCTTGATGCACTTAATATATGCATGCAAAATACATAAAAATGCAATTTATAAAACTAGTAGTACTCAACATGTATTATATATCCATATGCCACACAGACACGTACATATACACGCAAGCTTTATCAAGTCTTTAAAAGGAAAAAAATTCTATTTGTAAAAGTGAAGTTTTCCTGACCTCTAATGGTAAGAGACCTTTTCTAAATTTTTTATCATTTTTATTTTACGGGCATGTGTGTTGCTAGTAGGCTGGTCTCACAGAGTTCTGCCTGCCTCTTTCTCCCTAGTGCTGGAGTCAAAGACATGGCTGATACTCCTCTTGTAAATCATAGTTTTTTTGTAGAACTTTAGAAGAAAAAAAAATCACTTGAGCCGTGGGGTTGGGGGTGACTCACACCTTTAATCCCAGCACCCTGGAGGCAGAGGTAGGTGGACCTCTGAGTCCGAGGCCAGCCTGGTCTACATAGTGAGTTCCGGGCCAGTTGGGGCTACAGGGAGACCCTGTGTCAAGAAAAAGCTAGAGAACTACTCATGTTTTCAGTAGAGCAGCCTTTTCCTTGTTAAAGGAAGATTTTCCTTTAGTCTGAGTAGAAATGGAATTCTACATTCAGCCTATAGTGAGACCTTCCTTCTGCCACACTTGAAGGACATCCCTGCACAGCACATCGTGGTGAGTGTTCTGCAAGTCCTGTGGAATTTTATTTCTCATTTAGGTCTACTTAACTCTGACCAGCTGTTAGTTACAGAACTAAGCTCATCCCCTTCCTTTCTTCAACTAGAGAGTTCCTTGGTGATGACAAGGACTTCAGTTTACAGTTTCTGTGTCCCCGGAGATCTGAGTCATATTTGATATATAATTTAATTGAACAGCTTCTTAGAAGCCTTTCTACTCTCTGTTGGGTTTGTTCGTAGAGAACGTTTTTCTGCCAGAGTGGTAAACTGTGCTTTTTCTTTTTCCCTCCCCCAGCTACTTCTCCAGTATTTGAATTTCCTCTACCTCAAGTGTAGTGGGAACGCCGCCATGACTCTTCCTGGAGTAAACCCTCCAACCCTGAGCCAGGTCAGACAGCTTTGACTTTGTACAGAGCCTCCATGCCGTGTCAGCACCTAGACTTCAGTACCCGACCTTCAGCCTGTCCGGGATGAGAAGATGCTTCTCCCTCATGCAGACTGTTGGAGCTGGAGAGGGCGCCTCGGTCTAGTAGATAGATGTCTAGATTCGTAGTGCTGTGTTAGGAATTAAATTCCTGATTCATCATTATCCTTTCAAAGAATTTCTTGGGCCTCATATGAAGACAAGGAGCGCCTAGCAGTAGGTTGTCTCTCTTCATACACTTAAGAGAGTGGGTGCTTGCCGGGGGGGCTCAGATGGTGATGGGCTTACCAGGCATGCATAAGCACCCTGAGTTTTGAGCCCCAGCACCCACGTGAAAAAGCAGGGCACAGCAACACACATCTGCAATCCAGTGTTAGATGCAGATACAGACATCCCTGGAGCTCACGGGCTGGCCAACCCAGCTGAGCTGGTGAATGGAAGGGTCCACAAGAGACCAGTAAGGTAGAAAACAACTGAAGAAGATGCCTGACCTCAGCCTCCAGCATCCACAGGCACATACATACACACCTGCATAGGTACATACACACAGAGTTGTTGGGCTTTTTGTGGCCGGGGGATTCTTGAGACAGGGTCTCCCTGTATCCCCAGCTGGCCTGGCACTCACTATGTAGACCAGGCTGGCCTCAATCTCACAGAGATTTGCCTGCCTCTGCCTCCCAAGTGCTGGGATCAAAGGCATGCCCAGCACAAAGAGACCCCTTTTTTTTTTTTTTGGTCTTTTTGAGACTGGGTCTCCCTGTAGCCCCAGCTGTCTTAGAACTCACTGTGTAGACCAGGCTGGCCTTGAACTCACAGAGATCCTCCTGCCTCTGCCTCCCGAGTGCTGGGATTAAAGGCGTGGGCTGCCACACCAGGCTACAAAGAGTCATTTTTTTGCTATTAAAATACACTGACTCTTGGGACTGGAGAGATGGCTGAGTGGTTCTTGCAGAAGACCGGGGTTCGAATCCCAGCACCCACATGGCAGCTAACAACTGTCCGTAACTCCAGTTCCAGGGGATCTGACAGCCTCTTCTGTCTTCCTCGGGCATGGCACGACACGGGTACACTTATCTACATGCAGGCAATATACGTATACACATAAAATGAAAATAATAAACATTAAAAAAATTAAATATACTGACTCTTTGTGGGTGATGTGTTTAATGCTCATCCCACTCTTAAGATTCTAAAAATAACCATCCTACTTTTCCCTCATACATTTATGGTCTCATTTTCTGTGTCTGACTTACTGATTTGTGTAAAATGTATTTTTTAATATTTTTTAATTTTTTATGTGTATGAGTATATTGCCTGCATGTATGTACATATACCTGTGTCATACAGTGCCTATGGGGGTCAGAAGAGGACATAGGATGCCCTGGAAACTAGAGCTACAGACAGCTTCTATATGGTGCTGGGAATCAACCTGGGTCCTCTGCAAGGTTAGCTAGTATCCTTAACCACTGAACCATCTCTCTAGCCCCTAGAATTTTTTTTTTTTTTTTGGCTTGTTGTTTATTTTGGGGGGGACAGAGTCTCACCGTGTAGCTGGCTGGCCTGAAACTCAACTATGTAGACATCGCTGGCCTGGAGCTCAGAGATCTGCCTGCTTTTGCCTCCCTAGGCATAGGACCAAAGGCATGTGCCACCACATCCAACCATTTTTGTTTTTTGAGGCAGAATCTTACTCTATAGCCCACCATGGCCTGGAACTCTTGTGATCCTCTTCAGCCTCCCAAGTGCTAGGATCAACAGCATGAGCCACCAGTCTTGCCTAGAATTTATCTGGGTGCAGGGAGTTTCATAGGGAATCAGCTCACTTGCTCTCTCTCCAAATACATAACCATTTTCTGTTATTTTTTCATTTGCATATTTAATACATCATTTGACATTAGAGGAATATGTAGAATAATACTTTTATAAATATATAGTTTATGCCAGGTGTGGTGGCGTTTGCCTTTAGTCCCAGCACTTGGGAGGCAGAGGCAGGTGGATCTCTGTGAGTTCAAGGCCAGCCTGGTCTACATAGTGAGTTCCAGGACAGCTGGGGCTACAGGAAGACCCTGTCTCAAAAAGACCAAAAAATACGTATATATAGTTTATTTACATTATGTTAATTTAGTTCATAATAGCTCATCTGGGACACAGAACACCTGTGGTGTGTCTAGATAGAAGATGAGTCAGACTTGGTGGCACATGCCTTTAATCCCAGCACTCGAGGCAGAGACAGACTAGTCTTTGTGAGTTCAAGGCCAACCTGGTCTACATAGGGAGTTCCAGGCCACTTGGGGCCATAGGGAGAAGGTCAAAAAGACCCAAAAAAGAAAAAGGTAGAAGATGGAGTTATTTTTTAGTAACTACAGGTAATTATTTTTAAAAGTTTTGTTTTGTTGGGTGTGGTGGTGCATGCCTTTAATCCCAGCATTGAGAGACAGAGGCAGGCAAATCTCTGAGACTGAGGTGAGCCTGGTTGATCTACATAGCTAGTTCCAGGCCATTTGGGCTAACGGGAAGACCCTGTTTTTTTAAAAAAAAAAAAAAAAAACAAGTGTTTTTGTTTTGTTTTGGTGAGACAGGATATTGCTCTGTGCTCCGGCTGGCCTGGTTATGTCAGTCAGCCCTGCTCTCAAGTGCTCAGATCCCAGAGAGGAGCCACCACAGTCAGCAAAACAAAAGTTTTCTAAAAAAAAAAAAAGCCAGTACTAACTCTCTTGGATTAAATATCATTCTGATTTTCTCATTACTGATTAATGCTGTGAAAAAGATCCAGTTATTCTTGTATAGATTATTAATTCTTATAAAAGCAGAAAAAAACATATTTCCTCCGTCTCTAAAATGTTGAGGCTTTCATAAAGATTTGTTCTTCTGTTTGGAACCATGGACTTGGCTTAGTGAATTAATCTTTCTGTATTTCTCTTCAGATTATGGATTGGATATGCCTACTTCTAGATGCTAATTTTACTGTTGTCTTAATGATACCAGAAGCAAAAAGACTGTTGACTAATCTTTACAAGTTTGTGAAGTCTCAGGTTTGTGATTCTTTAGTCAAGAAAAAAAAAAAAAACTATTGCATTTCTTTATTTTGGGAGTGTATGTATATATGAACATGGGTGGATATTTGGGTACCATGATATACATTGAAGTCAGAGGAGGACTTTCCAGAGTCCATCCTATTGTTGATTCTATTTGAACCTAAGCATTGCCCGTGTTATTATTTACTTTGGGGGAGGGGCCAGGGGGTGCACATGCCACAGTGCATGTGTGAAGGTCAGAGGACAACCCAAGGGAGCTGTTCTCTCCCTCCATCTTGTGGGTCCCAGGAATCAGACTCAGGTTGTCAGTCTTGGTGGCAAGTCTGGTGAGCCATCTGGCCATCCCAGTTATGTTGATTGTAATTAAACATAAGTTTACTCATGGTAAAGGGCATACTTAGCAATCTTGAGGCTACTGATTATATTCCAGTATCCAAAAAACATACTATTGGAAAAATCATTAGTAATGATAAAAGATGTGTAGACTTTATGGTAAAAGATGCTCTGAATGTGTTTTTTAGATATGTGTCTATTCCGAGCTCAACAAGATTGAAGTGAGTTTTCGGGAGCTCCAGAAGTTGAATCAAGAAAAGAACAGTAGAGGACTGTATTCAATTGAAGTTCTAGAACTCTTCTGATATTAGCAGCTTTGCTTTGTGGATGTTCTCTGTGAATACTTCCTATTCATCCAGGGGAGAAAGTTTTCTTTGTGACCGTCAGTGTCATGAAAAGAGTATCTGTGTACCTGGACTCTTGTGTTGGTCCCCCTAAGTGGGACTGCAGGTTTCCCAGGAGCCCATTCCCTGGGAGGAGTTTGTGAATGTTTTTTTAAATATGTAACTGAACTGATTTTAAGTAAACTTATTTGTATACTGATAAAAGCCTAATTTCTTATCATGTTTTGAATAGTTTTTTTTAATTTAAAATATTATGGATAGATAGCTGGCTTAATGGATAAGAGCACGTAACTCCAGCTCCATGGGAGTCTGATCTCTGTAGGCACCTGCACTCGTATACATACACACAGAAAAGCACATGTACGGTATTCATTTAAAAATTAAACAGAAGCCAGTGAAGCAGTGTGCCCTATGAGTCAGACGCTCCAGCAGCTCATCTGCTTGTAGCAGCAGAGACCAGAGCCTCACTCAGGGCACACAGGGCTCCTGTGTGTGAAGTCACGTCTCCTGTCTTTCACCTACTTCATTCCCTCCTTGGGGTTAATTCTCCCCAGTACACTCTCCCAGACAAGCTATGTGATTAATGGAGGTGAGACACCTCATTGAGTAAAGATGCTTGAAGGCCCTACAAGCCTGGCCACCCACGTTCCATTACTGGAGTCCACGTGAAGGTGGAAGGAGAGAATTAACCACAGAGTTGTCCTCTGACCTCCACACTAGCACCCAGACCTGCACACTACCCCCTACCTCCCCCCCACACACACACCATACACACACCCACACAAAATAAATTTGAGGCCAGGAGGCAGAGGCAGGCGGATCTTTAAATAGTCATAGCACCAGGGTTGGTGGCCCACACCTGTAGTCCCAGCACTTGGGAGGCAAAGGCAGGTGGCTCTCTTGAGTACCAGGCTAGCCTGGTCTACATAGTTCCAGGACAGCTGGGGACACAGGGAGACAGGTCTCTGTTTCAAAAAACAACCAAAAAAAAAATAGTCTTATAGCTGGGCAAGATTGGGCATACCTTTAATCCTAGCACTCAAGAGGCAGAGGCAGATGGATCTCTGAGTTTGAGTCCAGCCTGGTATGTAGTTCACATTTCCAGGCCAGTCAGTGGTACATAGTAAGACCTTGTCAGGGAAAACAAAACAGGCTGAGGAGATGACTTAGTGATTGAGAACACTGCCCTTGAAGAAGGCCCAGGTTCAAATCCTAGCACCCATAGGGTGGTTTACAACCATCCATAACTTTAGTTCCAGGGGATCAGACACCCTCTTCTGAGGGTTAAAAATTTTTTAAAACTTTATTTGGTCTTTTTGAGACAGGGTCTCCCTGTATCCCCAGCTGTCCTGGAACTCACTATGTAGACCAAGCTGGCCTTGAACTCAACAGAGATTCACCTGCCTCTGCCTCCCAAGTGCTGGGATTAAAGGCGTGTGCCACCATGCCTGGCAAAAAATAAAAATATTTTTTTTAAAGTTGGGGCCTAGAAAGATGATTCAGCAGTTAAGAGCACTGACTGCTCTGGCAGGGGACCTGAGTTAGTTTCCCAGTGTCCACATAGTGGTTATCATCCCTAGCTCCAGTTCCAGGGGACCCAGTGCCCTCTTCTGACCTTTGTGGGCATTGCAGGACATGGGTGCACTTACATACATGCAGGCAATATACTCATACACAAAAATAGGGGGCTGTAGAGATGGCTCAGCTGTTAAGAGTACTGGCTGTTCTTGTAGAAGACCCACTTTGAATCCCAGAACCCACATGACAGCTAACATCCATTGCCCTCATAAGTCACAGACACAAAACAAAAATAAAATTTAATAAAATTTTTTTAAAATGAGGCCAGCCTGATCTAAGTATTGAGTTCCACTCAATGAAAGGCATGGTGGCGCATGCCTTTAATCCCAGCACTTAGGAGGCAGAGGCAGGTGGATCTCTGTGAGTTCAAGGCCAGCCTGGTCTACATAGTGAGTCCAGGACAGTTGGGGCTACAGAGAGACCCTGTCTCAAAAAGACAAAAAAAAAAAAGTATCAAGTTCCAGGCAAACTGGGACTACAGGCAGACCCTGTCTGAAAAGACCCCTCCCCCCAAAAAATTACAATTTAATTGGCAATAGACCTGTGGGTTTCCACAGTTTGGGTTTAGGACAAAATGAGAAGTGCAGGTCTGTAGGATCCTGTTTGCTTTCATTGTCTTAGGAAAAGTTTTCATTTTAACTAAACTTTAGTCATAGCTGTGGCAGCTAAGTTTCCCTTGGTCATTAATCTTTCTATAAACTT